GCAATATTGCATAATTTTAAGTAGTTCAGGTTCAATCCTTCTATTACTGCTATTAAATGACCCTATAAAATATATCATAATTTTCATTAAATTATTATGCGTTCAATCTTTTACACTGCATTCCTTTACATAGCAACGCTTTTAGCCTTTGCTACTATAACTCAAGCATTTTCTACTGGTTCTGGAACATGCAATGCAGATAAAGTAACTATCGAAGCGGTGAACAATACCCCTATGGGCAGGCAGAGAGACTTGGGCTTCGAAATTGCCATGTCTCAAACTGATCATTTTTACGTTCCGAATGGACCTGCGTTAGAATTTTCAATTAGTGGAACTCTAACAACTTTTAAAGGCCTCTTATTTTATGGCGAAGATGTTTTAAATAATCATGTTGGTCAGTGGACTATTCCATCTGGCTACAAATTAATGGCAAATTGTCCTGGTGATCCAAAAGGAACTCTTACTCATAGCTGTATGTATTGCACTCTTTTATATATTTACTCAAAATTTAATAATTTCTTAATCATTTTATTTATTTTATATACAGCTGCTACGGATAAACTAGTCAACACTACATCATTTCAGTGGAATCCTCCAGCAAGTGATGTAGGCCCAATCACTATCGTTTGTGTAATATGTGTTAATACTCAAACCGGCTTCCAAATCATAAGATCATCAAAGCCATTTGTCGTTAACGGAAGTACATTTGTACCAACTCCAACTCCATCCAATGATAATTCTACACCCGCTGCCAAAAATGCAGTTGCTACTAATTCCCCTCATACAATTAGTAACAGTACCGCCAATTCTTTTATAATGTCCAAGCCTTCGTTTTTAATACAATTAAGTTTATTTGTTCCTTTGATAGTTTCAGTGTTGATAGGATTTTTGTGAAGAAATCTATACAATATCAGATCAAATTTAATAATTTAATACAGGAATGATTTATGTCATTACTGAAAATTATATTATTTATATAGATATAAGAGTTTGCAAGAAAAAAGACAAAAACCCTAAGAACTTTTACCAATTGCAAGTAATTAATAGGTCATTTTTTTATAATTTTTTTAATAATTGTTTGTATTATCATTTAATTAAAGTATATAGTCCAAAAGTATTATTATTTAATTAATATATATAGTCTAAAAGTATTATTATTTAATAATTAAATATAAATTAAAATCTTTAAAAATGATTTTATAA